TGTCGATTGTGGATCCAAGCAAACTGTAATTGTTAACAACCTCAATCTCTTCTCCATCAAATAGAGAATCTTGTCTTCTTCATGTTGAGCTTCAGTCCATATTGAAGACTACAGTCCTTGACCTTTAGCAGCAAGAGCTTCATTCAGGTCCTCCTCAGTTTCAGCAATCAAGGTTGTGCCATCTGCATATCAGAGGTTCTTAATGAGTGTTCCCCTAATCCTGGTCCCACACTCCTCCTCATAAAGCCCTGCTTCCCAAATTATCTGTTCCGCATACAGATTGAAAAGGTAAGCAGACAGAATGCATCCCTGACACACCCCTTTCCTGATTTTGAACCATGCAGTGTTTCCTTGCTCTGTTCTGAGGACTGCTTCTTGGTCCAAGTATAGGTTTCGTATAAGCATGATCAACTGTTCCGTTTTCCTAAAGGTTAGCCACAATTTATTGTGATCCACACAGTCAAATGCCTTTGCATAGGCAAGGAAACACAAAGTAACCCAGTTTTTCGTCACCAAATTCCACATACCAATTGTTAATTTCTTATTACAACTGTTTCAACCTTTGTGTTTCCAAATTTGAGGGCTCAGCTTCAGTTGCCTTATCTGTTAGTCTACTCTAAGTGTGCTCTGCGGTACATAAGGTTTTCAAAGACCAGTTGTATTTCAGAAGTGGATGGTCAATGTTTCTTCCTAGTCGGTCTTAATTTGGATGTTCACTGTTAGAAGAATATCTGACAGACAAGTATTTTACCTAGCAGGTGAAAGACACTTTCCTTACAGAAATAACTAACACATTCACTATCCACCCAACCCAAGCACATGTGACTTGTCTCTGGCCTTTCCCTGCTACCTTCCCACTCCTTGCATAATTGGCTACCTGGTCAAAGCCTCCCTTCCCCAGCCACCTCCCAATATGATCACGTCACGTCTGTAATGCCTTCCACTACACACTGCTACTAGTTTCTCATGCTGTTGTCTATCTCTTGCATAGAAGGATGTGAGTCCAAATCCCATGTACCAACTTCAGAGAAAGAATTTTGCTTGAGGCTGTACTGTAATTTCAAGGTCGGGACAAGTCTCTTCTAGATTTGATGCTGTGGTGACATTTGTTTGGCCCAAAGTAAATTTTTTAAGTATTTTATAAGCACTCTGAAATACTTTCATTCTGACATTGTTTCATTTTTCCTTTTCACATCTTGAGCTGATATGCACAATTAAAAAAAAATCAGCATCAGAACTAAAACATTTCAAAGTGCTCACTCATTGCTGTTAAATTTGAGCCACTCTATTGTTGACCCTGTACTGGGTTTCCAGGACTGCCAACGCCCTGGGAGAAGACAGCCCATGTCTCTTCTGAGAAAGTGCTTGTGGATTCCAACCAACAGAGAAGAGCTGCTTTTGAGATAGCAGCCTACCTTCCTATGACCCACACTAGCAGACATTCCTGCGTTACTGATCAGCCACAGCTAATGCTTACACGGCTAATGCTATGTTTTCAATAATTTACATGGAAGTCAGTCCTTGGAGAAGGCCATCATGTATGCAGGAGAGGAAGATCCTGCTTGGGATGTACTGACAGACTGGCTCAGGGTAGGGCAACACAGGGTCCCATGCAACACAGTTTTTCAGGTAACTCATGGCACCTAACAACAACACAGAAAGCAGCATCTGTGTAAAAAAATGTCTGTAAAAATATTTTAGTTGACTTACAACTACATAAAGAATTATGTCAACTTCAACAAAATTCAGCTGAAGACTTTACTTACTGTCCGTCAAAAACCGAAGAAGAGTTGCCAGACATTCCCCAACCAAAACAGCTGCAGGTATTATTCTTTGTAAGGGAAAGAAACAAATCACTTTACAGACTTGACCAATTCAGCAGCCAGTATCTATATTCAGAACATTGGTGAAAATGCATTTGTATTTATTTTGTTTTTGCTTTGTCCCAGTACTGTCAGAGCCTCCTTCTTCAGGAACAACGCCCTCTTTTCCTATGGGAATCATTTCCCAAAATGTGGGTGGTAGGATCAATTCAACCCTCATCCCCACTTTTTGCATGGGAGCCAGAATTTAAAAAATAAATTTAAAATAATAATAATAATAAACCCCAAGCAAAATCGCCATCCACCAGTACCAGGAAGGTTCACAGATATTCACCTGACTACCTGGAATTCACCCACAGATTTCCTACCAGATCCATTCCAGAACACTGTTTCTGAGCTCTAGGGCTGTTAACCTAGAAACATCTGTATAGAGGCTAGAGGAAACCAGGGACTTCTTCATCAGTGGAGAAGAACAGGAAAGCCTTTTTTATTTTAATTATTTTTGAATAACCACATGAAGTGTAGAAATACTGTAACTACTAAGTAAAAAGTGAGTAGAAGTGTTCATTTTATTGTCATAAAAAAGTCAAGGAGAATCAGCAGATTTTGGAGGAGGGCTGGGAAGAAATAGAGTTCTGACTGTAAGCTTGGCACTTGAGTCCTTACCCAACACAGCAGCAGTCAGAATTCAAAAGATTGTATTGGGCAGATCCACTGTCAAGAACTTCTTTAGGATGCTAAAGCTCAAGAACCCTGATTTGAAGACAAAAAGGTGCATCTGGTCCAAACCATGATTATTTTAAATTGCTTCTGATGAATACAAAAGTTGGACAATGAATAAAGATGATTGAAGAAGTGATGCTTTTGAATTGTAGTGATGGTGAATGGAATTGAATATACCACAGATTACCAAAAGTACAAACAAATCTGTCTTGGAGGAATGTTCCTTAGAGACAAAGATGGTAGAACTTTGTCTCATATACTCTGGCCATGTCGTCAGGATGGGCCAGTCTTTAGAAACAGACATCATGTTGGGAAAAGTACTGGTCAGCGAAAGAGAGAATGACCCTCACCAAAATGGAGTGACACTGTGACTGCAACACTGGGCTTAACCATGGCCAAGATGGTGAGGATCATGCAGGATGAATAAGGTTTCCTTATCATAACACTACCACCACCTGCAGTCTATGTTTTTTCCAGGTGAATATGCTGTAAATCACTTTTTGGGTACAAGCCATTTTGCAGTGGGTGCTGGTGATTGATAACAACAAAATCCTGAGAAATCAACACATGTAATTCCAAGTTACTAAATGGTAGTTTCCTTGGATATCAATTATTAATAACAGGATTAAAATATATATTCTCCAGGGTTTCCCACTTGCTGTATAATTTTGTTATGTTGTTGGAATTTTAGTCAACCAAAATTGTGTAAATGTATACAACTGTATAAACAGTATATACAATTGATACAACTGGTTATATAAATGTATACAATTAGTTTATGCATGTATGTATGTGTGTGTGTATATATAAATATATACACACACATAAACCAAAATGTATACATATTTGAGATTTTTATATACAAATAGGGTATAAATTGTATAAACGGTATATACAATTGATACAACTGGTTATATAAATATATACAATTGGTTTATGCATGTATGTATGTGTGTGTGTATATATACATATATACATATATACACACACACATAAACCAAAATGTACACATGTTTGAGATTTTATATACAAATAGGGTATAAATTGTTGGAAATTTTATATGGTATAAATATTAAAATGGTTGGAACGTATATACAAAAACCAAAATGTACAAATCGTTGGAATTTTAATCAACCAAACAACTAAGTCCTTGATTTGCAGCAATAAAAGGTCCTAGAATATAAGAAAGTGGTACAAGATACTTTTGGAAATATTCAAGACTTAATTCTTACCCCTTTCTGATTTGAAGTATTTTATGTTGGGTCAATACACTCCTTTTCAAATATGTAAAAAGTTACTCAGAAAAGAATAATAAAGTAACTACAGCAGTGCTAATTGGTTGTATTACAGTAAAGCAAGTTTCACTTCTCAAGATTAAGAACTGAGACCAGTAAACACAATTAATGATTTTAGACTTCACGCAAAGAGAAGTACCAACCACCTCAATTTATTTCTTATTAAATTTTATTAAATATTTTTGAGGCATTAAATTCTGGTCTCTAATTAGACCTCAAGTCTCAAATTTCTCAGAAATGGCAAGCAGTCATGATACAGTGAAATGTGAAAAAGAGATACCATTCAACCCAAATTAACAGAAAAAAATGGAATTAGAAAAGGAAATTCACCTGACATAATTGAAGCTTTTCATTCTATAACTGCATCAGCAACAGTTTTACAAACAAAAGTGTTCTAAAATAGATTTTCCTAAATAAGTCTGTCTCTTGTTCATAACTATATCCAGAGCTCTCACAACTGTGTCTGGCACCTGGGCAGCTCTAAGGGTTTGTGGGGCAAGAGGCTGGGAGAGGACAGGGCAAGGAAGGTGGGTGTGACTGGGGAGAGGGAAGGAGGGAAGATGCATTTAAGAGGTGGGAGAAAAGGCTTTAAAAACTCTGAACAGATGGGCTGAAATGGCTGAGAAGGAGCTGAAAAAAGCTGGGTTAGTGAGGAGAAAAGAGAGGGAAATAGAGAAAAGAAAAAGGACAGTACTAAAGAAAGAGGGCCAGGTGAAAGAGCAGAAGGGAAGCAGGGAGGGCAAGAGGGAAGAAAACAAACAGCATATACTGAAGACTACTAACTTCCCGTCCCCCTGAGGACTCTTCATATCTGGAATTGTAAGTCACCCAGCATAGAAATACTATTTAAAATGTCCATACCCTTATTTGTCAATTCCAATGGAAGCAATCAGTATATTAATAAATCCAGGACAAGTCACATTATACACACAACAGACATTGATAAGAACTACATGAATTAAAGCACAAGTTCTTACATTTTATCACTTAACTGGGAAAGGGCTTCAAGTTTTAGAAACATGAGACAATTTAAATTCCAAAGCAATTTTACTTGCTGAGCACCAATAAGGCATTTGGTGGCTAAGTGACATTTCTTTCCGCCCTCTGAGCAACACTAGCTCTTCTATACCCTTCCCAGCAAATCCCTCTCAGTCCCGGCTCGCTCGTTTCTGGGTCTCTCCCTTCGCTGAGTGTGCATGTTTGTGGCTTCTACCCTCCTTTCCGTCTTCCTTGTTCCTGGTCATCATTTTACTAGCCATCTTTTCCTTACTTGACAGGTTCCTCCCCCTTTCCTTGGCTTTGCCACTTCCATGGAGGCCTGCTCTCCCCTTTCCTTCATCCTTCTCACCCTTAGCAGGCCCTCTAATGGGCAGCTGGGAATCCGGGCTTTGCTTCTCCTTCTGGCCAGCCTCTTTTTCCTTCCTCCTCTTTCTTCTCTCTTCACTCTTACTTTCCTTTCTCGACTCTGCTTTCTCTCTGGGCTTCTTGAGCTCTTCTTTAGTGAGTTCTTTAACTTTCAGGTTTTTCAACCAAAGGAAAAAATGTTTATTGAAAGAATCTCTTAACCAATGCAACAAAACCTCTGCAAAGGACTTTTGCATTTCCTTTCTCTGCCCACCTACCATTAAATGCTCATTCCAAAAGGGATTTTAAATCACTAATTTTAAAAACTGGTTAAAAACAGATGCAAACCTGTATGCAATATCAGCTACACAAGCAGTTAGAAATCTGCTAGCATATTTTTTTTTCCAACTTGAAATATGCGATGGCTTACCATAAAATGAGGAAAACATGCAGTATTATTAACACACCAGGCTAGTGCTGTACAGAAAAGGTTGGTAATTCATTTTACAACTAGAGCAACACAGTTAAAGGAACACTGGCAAATTAAGAACAAGTATTTTTAAAACTTTTAATTATTTATATTAGAGATATTTAAAATTGGCTGCTAACAAAATTATCTGCTTCAAATATATTGCTGTTATGTGCCCTCTAGCCAGAAATGACCCACAGCTGACACTCCAGCAGGGTTTTGGAGGCAGTAAATCACACACAAGGAGAATGCCCGCCTTTCCCCTATAGAGCACCTGGTGGATTCAAACAGCTTGCTTTTGAGTTGGCAACAGCTCCTTACCATTAGGCCACCAGAACTCCTTAAAAATGTATGTGCCTGAAAGTCCTGAAAACAAACTGAGTACACAAATTAAAATTTAAGTACCACTTAGTTTTATTAGCTAATTAAGTAAAAAACAATTTCCAAATGAGTATAAAATTTCAATTTCTTTATCTACAGTAATTTAATGACAGAATTTTTCTGCTTATATTCAACTTTATGGAATTGGTACTTCTTTAAGTATATTGTTCTGTTATCTTACATAGCCAACATAAGGAAGAGCAGTTAAAAGGAATATACAAGTAATTAGAAGTATTATTTAAGATGTGTTTTCATAAGATTTAGCACAGCTGCTTGCATCTTGCCCTTAGGAAAGTATACAAAAACAAGATAATTAAGGCATTGAAGTAGTCAATAGTTACAATTTCCCTAAGGCAATAAATTGTGAAAGATATTCTGCTTATTATATAAAACTCATACTGCACAAAATGTTATTCAAAATGACCACTGGTTTTCTGGTAGTCACTAAAAGCAGCATATGCCTTTCTTTACAGTCATAGTAAAATCGCAACTAAGCAATGAAAATATTCAGACTGTCTTAATCGAATTTCCTGTTGAGCAACTAGAGGGGGTAAAAAATCTTCAGTTCTTCCTGGCAATATTATTAAATTCCTATGTCTGATTCTAGTGAGCGCTGTCTGGGGAGCCCCATGGTTGCAGACAGGCAGGGGTACAAGGCGGAGAAATGCTGGCAAATTTTATTCGGCAAATCGATTTAAAAATTACATCTTTAATGTTTTATTTCTCACAGGTTAAGAAGTAAAATTGTACATTATTGGCTATTCATAATGAATTCTCAGATAAAATGGCAAATATCCAGTCTTATTCCTTTGATGATGATGATGATGATGATGATGTGTGTGTGTGTGTGTGTGTGTGTGTGTGTGTGTGTGTGTATTGTCAAGCCATATCTGACTGGTACAGGAAGAAAATGTCCTTCCTTCTCCAGCAGAGAATCTGGTGGATTCAAACTACGCACCTCTGGGATTGCAGTGCAGCTCAGTCTTACTCCTTTAAGATGAAAAGTTAAAACACTAAAATGTCCTAATTTTAAATTTAAAATGTAAATTACAAGTCCAAACATTAATAGTTTATGCACACACAAACCACAAAAAAATATGCTCAGCACTTGACACAAAAGAATATTACAAATTTGTCAAGAAAAGCATGCACTTTCCCCATGCCTCTTCCCAAAGGCAAGCCTGCTCTAACAGTCTGTGAGCCTGCAGATAATAGTTAACAGTGGGAGTGATTTTTTTTAAATAAGTAAAATACCAAACACAGTAAATTCTGTGCCAAGGTAATACAGTGCTCCAGAACATAAAGAGAAATTTTATTTTATTGAAAATAACAGTTTGGATTATACTCAATTGAACTGTGCAGAAAGACAATGTCATCAGAGCTTCTAGAGCAATAAAATCCATCACTGCTTAAATTCTCTTTTTTCTAACAGTAATTCAAAATTCAAGCTAAGGAAGTTTGTACAGAGGAAGGTAAGCATATGTATATGTGAATTTTCCATAGAAAGGAAAGTATAACTGAACTTACTAATATATTCTAATGTACATATATTCTGTAACATTTATATGCTCATAAAGATTGCTGCAAGTACTGAAAATATGAAAAGTGCATAATATTATAGATTTGAGGCAGACAATTCTTTTATGAAGTTTTGCTAAGACTATGACTAAGGTGCACCCAAAACCAAAAAGCAGTACTGATTTTAGCATTAGTAGCTGCATTTATATAAGACACCATGCATTTTCAAGCATTAAACATGATTCATTCAAGGCTAATTTGAAAACAGAAAATACCTTTGGCCTTAGATTTTTTCTTGACTACCCCACTGGATCCTTCTGTTGGTATTTACAAGATGAAAATAAGTCATAAACAAAACAATATGAAGGAAATGAAGAAAAGTATTGATAAAGTATAGGTAATTTAAATTGATGCCTCAAGTAAGCAAAGTAAGTTATTAAAATTCAACATGCAAAAATACGGTTAGTGGCCACCTTATATGGAGTTCAAAGAACCACACATAACTTCATTTCTCAGTGTTCATTTGGTATGTAGGATGCATGTATTAGAACAGATTTGTAAGTTTATATGCAATGTCTCCAACTCTCAAGGACAATTAAGATTATGTTTACAAAGGCAGTTATAATAAAAGAAAATGAAGAGCAACAACAATCAGAACAACAAAATATTATGTCAGAACCAACTTATAACATAATTGTCGGCATGTAACACCCTCATAAATCAAGAACTACATGCACTCTTCTTTCAACATTTAAGCATCTATCAATAATAAATCATTTTTAAACTTTAGTTTTTCTATCCATAAAGAGCGATTGGTATGGTCAATTTCACTCATGCCTAAAACTTTGCTTGGCAGTAAGGAGTTGCACTATCAACCCAAAGGCATTAAATTCTAATCCACCAGCTGATCCACAGGAGAAAGATGCGTGATCTCCTCCTAAGTGATTTACTGTCTCTGAAAAACCACTGCAGGGTCAGTGATGGTCAGTTTCCACTCAATGGTACATAACAACAACAACAATTACCACCAGAAAAAGAATTTCTCTCTCCGCCATGCTTTGATGGTCTGTGCACTTCTCCTCCAACCAGAGACAATAACCACCGTGGTGAACAGGCCCAATGACATGACCTCTAGTCAATCACCAGGGCCTTCTAAAAAAGGGGAGCATATTTTGATAAAATTTTCTCATTTATTTTTTGAATAATTATTGCCGTCTTCCAATTACTTTAACATTTCTGGATATAAATGTCATACAAGCATATAAGAATTAATAGTGTGATGTGAGGACATAGTAACTTTCATACTCATAAAATTTTTGCTGTGACTTTCTACTTTTTCTTAGCCAAGAAACGTTCCAGTAATGGATTTCTTTCTGAACCTCCAGCAAAAGTTAATACAATATATCTCTCTGCACTCTTACTACCACCAAATGGTTCTGAGCATCCCATTCTGCTGATCGTCAAAATTCTCTGGCCAAGGCACAGGATGTTTGCCCTAAGAGAAGTGCTTGGAAGCTGGACAGCGCAGGAGAGGAAGATCCTGGACAAGATGGACTGACACAGTCACTGGGTTAATGGTAATGGGAGCCAGTGTGTAGGAGCCAATGAGATTAGAACAGGATAAGACAATATTCAGAACTATTGTGCATAGGGTCACTATGAGTCACAGGCAACTCAAAAGCACCTAACAACAACATACTAGCAAACTTCCTGAAATGGCATTCCAGACAATATTCAGAACTATTGTGCATAGGGTCACTATGAGTCACAGGCAACTCAAAAGCACCTAACAACAACATACTAGCAAACTTCCTGAAATGGCATTCCAGACAATATTCAGAACTATTGTGCATAGGGTCACTATGAGTCACAGGCAACTCAAAAGCACCTAACAACAACATACTAGCAAACTTCCTGAAATGGCATTCCAAGTTGCTGATCCATTCCCCAGGCATATTAGAGAGAAAGAGAGATAAGGGAACTACTGTTGAAACTCCCAAGTGTAACCAATCCATCATTAAAGATTAGAGGTGCTCTCACAAGGAAGTGCCTATCATTTTACATCTACTCTGGCTGTAAACCACAGAAGGTTTTCAAAGGCAATAAATCACATGAGAGGAGATTTCTCAATTTCCCATCCTTCTCCTAATGAGCAGATGGTGGATTCCAACCACATTCTTTTGAGATTGCTGCACAGTATGTGAATAAACAGTTATAATCAGTCTTTTACCAGTGTGTACAAAACAATTCTTTTTTACAAACTATACCTGATGCTTCCTTTAAAGTCTTTGGAAAATAAAAGAAAAATTCTTTCATTGTTTTACAATCCCTTCCCCCAGGTCTCCCTTTAAAGTCTTATAAATATAATGTACCACCTTGTAAGACTGAATGTTACCTTGGACACTTCTCATTAAAGTTACTTAGTAAAATACCAAACTACTTCCATGGTAGCAACTTTTCACTGCTAGGTTTATTCAATGTATAAAAGAAATAATATAAAGGAGTAAAATGTTAATATTTTTGTACATATATGACAAGCAGCCCCACTTTTTCTCTAAGAAGTAAAAGTCAGTCATTGCCCTGGGGAAATGACTTGTAGCTAACGCCCCCCATCCCAGTGCGTTTTCAGAGGCTGTACACCATAAGAGATGATACTGCCCATCTGTGTCCCTTGGTGCCACTGGTGGATTCAAACTGACAGAGGGGAGCCACTTTTGCATTTGTAGTAAAACACTCTACCCACAAGGCCACCAGAGCTCCATATTATGAAGTAAAATAGTGGAAAACAGATTCCCTACATCGATACTGGTCTACCCCATTTATAGCCAAGAAGATCAGTACAGATTAAAGGGCAAGAGTTAATGTTTATTTTGTACTCCAATATTACATTCACATCAAATTAATAAAACAAGTGAAATATAATGTGTAGCACTTTATTTAAAATAATTTTCCAATATACGTATAAACCCTTAAAAGATTTATAATGTGCAATAGATCATACAAAACGTGAAAATACCAGCTTAAGCACCTTTTCTAACTTAAAAAACACAATCGATAGTTTTTCATATTTTAACATGATAAAAATCTAGGCCACTAACTTGGAGCACGTTAATTATATTCAGTCTCTAAGAGAAAGTCATAGACATGGAAGAAATCACAGAATCTGAACACCAGGCAACTAAATATTGATGAAAGGGTCGTGGTTTTCCAATGATAGAACTTTGACTTTCCAGCTGAGAGACTAGGATTCAATTCCCAGTGAACACACCTTACCTCACTTGTCTGACAGCTACAATGCTGAATAAGTTTTGGTGGAGCTTCTAAACAAAGGAGTTGGAAGAAAAGCCTGTATAGTTTCCAAAAGTATCAGCCAGTGAAAAACCCTACAGATAACAATAGTCTGATCTTGTGTAAAAGATGCCATAAGTTGCCGTCAATGTCACAATGAAGGGGGGGGGGAAGAGTCAAGAAATGGCAACGGCACAGTCCACAGGGAATTACACTGCGAACTCGCAAGTCACACCTCTGATGGTTCAAATCCACCAGCTACTCTGAGGAAGAAAGATAGACAATCTCCTCCCATGTGATTTACAGCCTCTAAAAACCACAGGAGGGTCAACTATCTGTTGGTTCAGAGTAGACAGCATTGAGTTTGAGTTTTTCAGTTTTGTTTTTAAATTTTAAAAGTAAAAAACTCAGTTTTAAAAAGAGGGCATAAGCAGTTCATTTATTTCTTTTTAAAAGTAATGCCCCAGATTATTTTTTTAAAAAAATTCAATTTACAGTGTTCTCATAACCCTCTTTGTTAATGTTAATTTTGTAAAGCAAAGCCCTGAAAGGGAGCTCTGGTAGCTTAGTGGCAAGAAACTGCACTGCAATCTAGAAGGCATGCAGTAAGATTCCACCAGATGCTCCACTGCAGAAGGAGGAGCAATCTCCTCCTGTGCCAGTCAGATCCGATTCAAAGGTACACAAGAATTGAGGAGCAGGGGGAGAACTCCATAAAGCAAACCACTGAAAATGCTTAGATCACTCATGCATGATGAAGACAATACTCCTGTAGAATGCTAATTACTAAATGCCCGTCATCACTTTCAGATTCCTAAATACTGAGTGGTAGATGCAGCTATTCTAGAGCAATAAGGAGAAAATGGAAATTGAAAGAAAGGGGATAAAAATCCCATTTGAAGACTCTTTCTTCAAATATGGCCTCTCTCATGATTTTGTGGGGCAAGAGGGAAGAGGTTGAGAGGGTTGGTTACCAGCATGTGTGTTCTGAAGCCTAAAAGAACACAGGCTTTATTCCAGGGAAATAAGGACCTGAATTCATGTGAGAGGCGATAAAGGACAAAGGTGGCAATGCAGATCTGGATCCCAGAAGATGAACTATCTGGAACAACGCTGAATGGCCGAGAGAAGAAATCAAAGCCTCAAAGCTAACATGCTGCCTGGAGTCCATTCCACCTCAGACAAAATTATAGGTCAGAGCGAATGGCCTTGAAGTTTGCCAAGGCTGTAATCTTTATGGTATCAGAACGCTACTTCCTCCTCCCACAGGACAGGACACTATGATTTAAAGAAATCTAAGACTGTCAAGGAAATATCAAGTATAGAGATAATGGAACCCAGCCAGTGAGAAAGCAAGGTCATCTTTATGAGCTGGAGAGACTGGAAAAATATGAAGTTTTACTTCCTTTTAATTCTATGTTTATTTGGATTGGGTTTTAAGGAGATCGCTGTTAATAGCTGTGATGATTTGGGGGGATTTTTATATAGAAATTCTTTAAAAAGCAGGTTTTATAATTTTCTCGTTATTAACGTCCAGCAAGTCGACTGTGACTCACAAGCCTATGAATAAGAGATCTGGACCATGCCCTATCCTGCGTCATCCTCATTATCTCCAACATGCTTGACCCCAGGGATGCACTGACTGTCAATCCATCTCAGTGAGGACCTTCCTTTTCTCTGATCCACCAGCATCATGTTATTTCCAAGAACTGACCACTCCAGACAACATACCCAAAGTACGTTTTAAAAAAAGAGATCTGCACCATGGTTACACTTCCTCCAAGATAGACTTGTTTGCTCTTTTGGTAGTCCATGATATTATATTCAGTACTCTTCACCAACACAACTAAAAGTTGTTGACTCTTCTTTGACCTTCCTTACTCACTGTCTAACTTTCACACAAATATGTATGTATAAATTACCTAAAGGTAATGTATGATATTTTATAACTACCTCGGAATCACTATCCTACATACATTTTTAAATGGAAATGTTCTATGTGAAATTAAGATGCCTGCATCCTTAAGCC